CTAATAACAGCACTAGCTAACATGAACAGCCTAGCTAATCAGGAACCAACTTCAGTAAAAAAAAAGTTTAATGATTTCAATAAATGAAACTTCCTTTTAACCCTTTCAGGGTTAACAGGCCCTTTCAGACTTCCTCAGGGTCGGCCAAATTAAAAAAAAAAAAAATCTTTTCCCAATCAACGACACCAAAAGTATGAAATTTGATGGAAAACTTACGGAATTATGCTCTCGCGAAGTTAGTGGTCTCTACTGTTTACGCATCGGCAATTTTGCCCACTGAGCCCTATTTTTGGCCAAATCAGTGTACTTGTCGACAAAAATCATAACTTTCACTAGAACTCCATTTTTTTCTATTTAACGAGTACAAGAAATCACCCACTTACCGATTTAAACTATCCAATACAGTGGTCAGAATTTAGCAATTTTGCCAATTTCATAAATTTCAAAAGATGCCAATTTCTGAATAGGGTCCAGAATAAACAAGACATTCCTGGCACTAAAATAACATTTCCTCTGTTCATTAGTCAAGTTCTCATGCCCCTCTTACATTCTTTTGCTTTCCACTTTGAATTTTTATTCACAAAAAAAAATAAAAGATTGTTATGCAGACTGCTGCATTGTAGAAATGGTATAAATAATATCAGCGCACTTGTGAAAGAATATTAGACTCGCCAGTTGACGTGTATTGGACGCACAGCACTTTTTTTGAACCGAGCTCAATTTCAAGGTACTTTTCTTTGTAAAACCAGTCAAAATCATCTTAATTTCTGTAATTGTCTTCCATTCTATAAAACGAGACCAGGAAAACTAGAATACAACAATAAATACCACACAAACAGTGCAAAGTCGCTGTTTTAATCCAAAAACACGGTCAGTTTTTTTCTCTCATTACGCACTGCTGCAGGATTTTTTTTTATACCACACACTGACCTCAGACCCATTCTTTCATATGTAGGCCTACCAGCTTCTTCACTAGATTTGAGGACTAGAATTTAGGCGCACTAGTACGTCAAAAACCCTGGCGCGTAAGCTGTACTAGTACGGCTGAAACCCAGAAAGGGTTAATAGAATTCTGCCCCACTGATAGGAAACATGAAAGGGTTTCTGAAAGACACTGCTAACAGTACTGCAATTCTGTTTAATTACTGTACTGGTACTTTACACTAAGGATACAGAAATATTAGCTTTAAACCCTTTACAGATTTTTGCCAAGAAACTGTCTTCTCTCTGCACTTAATACAATATAGCACAAGACTAAACTAGAGGCAGAGCCATTTAAAATGACCATCTTGCCAACTAAGGTCACCAATGTCAGGCCTATTTTTCAACTGGCAGTTCTTTTATACATTATTAAAGCTATCAAGCACTAACCAAACTCCCTATATATAATTATTACATTTGTATACAAAACCTAGCACTAAAAACATTAACATGTGAATAACATGCAATGTCATTTTCCAAGTTGACTTTACCAGAACTATAAATGCCAAAAACGGGCATGTAGTTAGAATGTTAGGCTACTTTGGGAAGACCTAAATACTTCACATCAGTAATGTGAGCCAAACATTCTCAAGTTTAATTTGGTGCCCATTATGCAGCCTGCAGCATATGCATGACATTACAATATAAAATTTAACTTGGCATTAGCATTATAGAAATGAAGGGCAGAGTCTAGCATTAATCTGCCAACTGTGTATACTGTTCAGATCTCTGGCCAGGGGAAGAATAACAGGAGGGGAGAGTTAGAAAAATCCACCTAGCTATTGTTCCAAGGGTTATCACCCTTGTCCCAGACCAGGCCTTCCAATGGAAGGCCTGATCAAGTTTATGCTAGCCACACTTATGCATTTTAAGACCAGAGATAGGCAACCTAAAAGGAAACCTTCATATAAACACCCTCACCAAATGTGTTGCATGTGCTCAGAGCTTCAAATTTCAATAGCCTCACCAAGAATGCAAAATGCCTCCAGGACTTTTCTTGCCAACTGGTCTCTCCAGATTTTTACACTACACTTGCCTTATTTCTTTTATTTCAACAGCATAAACTTCATTAAAGCCCATGCAACATTCACATTAACCTACTGGATGCTCAAGTGTCAAACTAAGCTTCCTTTATAGATTAGACTGATTAAAAGAGGTAGAGGCTAATTATCTAACAGACGAGCATGAAGTACTAACTTCATTCCCATTAAATATGGGTAAAAACATTACAGCAATTCACATTCCTTTACCACACCAATCAGCCTGCTTGTGTGGTTGATTATGTTGCAAGCTCCTTGCACAACTGGGCCATCAATTACCATTAGAAACCTAGTCAAGATGTGGGATCAATTCCAGCACATTAAACTAACATTTCCTTATCTGCTGCCCCTGTTCACCTAGAAGTACATACCTAGTTATGGTTGTGGGTAGTATTTTGAGGACAAAATTAACCTAGGTTGCTCAAAATGCTCTGCATAACCAGGGTCTTTCTATACAGGAACACCCTGTCAGCAAAGTTATGTACTTTTAGAAATTTATAACTTGACAGTCAGTGACCTTTGGAACCTAGGCCTAAAGTTAGTAATGTTAATGGCTTCCCTCAAATAGTTAATTAGGGATAACCCACTAAAGTCGGCATATTTATCTGGGGTCTAATTCAATTTAAACTCACTGTACTCTAGTTTCAAACTACAGATACGCTAGTTTCCATGCACTAGTTTATGCCTTCAATTGAGGAAATGGATTACCTCATTAACAAAGGAATATGAAATTTAATCCTTACAGTGCACTATTCACTGCAATAAAAATTAAAAAATTTCAGTACTAATTAACTCATGGCAACAGAACACTTTTTTCAGTGCTAAATAGTGCCTCATGACATTCCCTTAACCAATGGAACCCTGGTTCATTATTCTTGGGAATATGCTAAACCCCACAAGGCTTGCAGCACCTGGAGAATGGGAGGTAATCAGGTTTGATTCAAGCTAGTTTTTATTAAAAACCAAGGACAGATAAGGCACTTTCTTTGGTCAGCCTAGGTTAATCAAAGGTTAATCCTGTCAGAACCTAATACCCATGTTCACTGTAAACCTTAAGTATGATTGAAGCAGAGCAGTCTCTGCAATAACACCCAACAATACATAGCAATTCTTAAAAGTAAAGGTTTGGCCATTGCTTAATGTGGAACTTTCTAAAATAACTGGCCTTCATGGAGTAAAAACCACTAAACTGGCTGGTTACGATGACTAGCACACATGGTACACAATATGAACCATTTTCAAGATTCACTTGTGCCACAATACTCCACTTTAGTTACACTTTAGTTCTTAGGCACTGTCAGATTACTCAGTTTGAGATCTGTACTAACATACTATTCAAATTACCCTGAATAATTGAAGCTAATCAGCGACTATCCACAGGATCTTTTAAGTGTTACTAGTACAACCCACTAACTTGTACCTCTGGTAGGGAACAGGAACTGTATAGGTGTTAGGGTATCTGGCAAAGTTCAAGTTGCTAACAAAGTTATCCAGGTGATAAAAGTTAGCCAACAATTTAAGTACTAGGTTACTGCTTGCCAATTTCCTCCAGATTTGGCAATTACTTGCAGTCTCAAGGTGATCTGTCCATATATCACCCACATCCCACTTAAAATCAAGTATCTTAAGTTGTGCAAGAAGCTGATGCTGACAACCACCGAGTGGCTTTGTTAACTTTCAACAATATCGCCAAAATGGATAGCATTTCTAATTGGTTTATGGTTGAATGAACTATTGTGTACTGTAACTGTTTAACATTCACTCAACTGACATTTACTAACCTATAATGTCTAAGTGACTATCAATAGTTTTGAAGTTAATGCTAATGTTCAAATTAAGTACTAGATTCGTATATTAAAACCCTACTTTAAAAATCTGGTCCCACACCATCTTTCCCAAGTCACAGACCAATCATTTTTGCAACTTTAGTACATTTTAAATGCAATGTTCACATGAACTAATATTGCAGAAAGTTACTTTCTGAAAGGGACAAAGCCTAGATCATACAGCAGACAGGAAATTAAGTTTGATGAAAGAAGGTTAGCCGCAAGTACACTTTAAACCAGCCACACTAAAGTGTTAAGGAAATATTACAAGAATTTAATTTTTAACAACATGCCGACATACATATATGGGGTATTTTAACACATCCAATTAACAGGTAATGATCCAAGTTACAAACGATTACTAAATCCTTTTAAGTGTGAAAGTTATTAACTACTCCCCACCCCCCACATACTGTAATGGTTTAGTAAAGGACAAATTCAAAAGCTTTCTAGAAAGTCGAGCACAACCTTAGTAAAGGTACCATGTAATTTAATCCGTAGAATGGCATCTTAATTATGTCGTTTGAGGATTTATAAATGTTAAACCAAACAGGTACTACATGCAAATTAGATTTTAAAAGTCAACTGAATTAAATATGGCGACAGAAAGGACGTGTCCTAGACGGTGGAATATTTTAAGACTAAACCTAATTATGGCATTTCCAGTAGCTTCAAACTATAGTAATTGTCTGGATTATCCTAGCTCTTTTACAAGAGGATAATTTTATTGTACCTGTGCCTAAAACAGCCATGACGCGAGTCAGTTCTCACAAGCTGTTATTTTATCGTTACATAGAAAATTGCAGTTAACAGTAAATCAACTGTCAAGTTAACAATAGCACACACAAAAAAAAACTTAAGTGTTTGTGGTGAAATTGAAGAGGGGGAAAGTAGGGATAACGTTAGGGGAGAGGCAGAGGGCAAATAACGAGGTCAAGACAACTTTCACTGGTGAGGATCTGTCAAGCGCCATGTGCCGCCTCTTTGTTACCTAAATACCAATACCTAAGTAACACCTACCTACACTATCTACATTATACACCCATATTTAACTTTTATGCGTCCAGGACAGTTTTAAGGATGCGTTGCTAGGTTTAAACAATGAAAAAAAAAATTAAAGCATAATGTGTGCGAGCCGGCGAACACTACTCACCTCAATATTATTACTTTTGGCCCATAGTGTGCCATCGTGACCAGCGATTATTGCCTTCGAAACAAGTCCAGAGCCCATAAGCTGCTGGTCAACGTAATTTTGCCAAGACATTGTGAAAAAATAATGTGTTAAGGGAGAGAGGCACTGCAACTCGCGCACCACAAGTGACTGGACTACTGACTGGCTGGGAGAGGCAGAGCCGCAGTACGCCATGCCTTCCTCCGCCTCAACTTACCATCTATCACCCTACACTACCATTAACCCGAATTTTTATCTGATAGTACTTATCATTACCCTTTTAATTTGCATCCTTTATCTTCATCATTTCACGGCCGATGTTGTGGTATATGACTTGATTTCTAGCTTTCAAGTAAGACACAGAAAATTTGAATTATAAATAGCTATCTGGAGAATGTGTCATGCAGACTAACACCGGCATGTACATCCCTCTTATCACTTATCTCAGTGATTTCAACGGTGTCTTACTAATAAGCTTGCGGCGTGAAAATACCCGGTGGGATAAAATTATTACCAGGAGGCCTATAAGTATAGGGAAAAAAGCCCATGAACTAGTTTGTTCCGCGTAGGTCGAGATGAATCATCGTAGTTACTGGGAGGGTCCATGTGTCAAGTGACGTCACCGGCCTCGAAAAGACTGGGAATTCGTGAAATATAAGAAAACGGGAATTTCCATTGCAAAGCAATAGGCATCTTGCAAATCCCTATTGCTCATTCTAGCTAAATTCCCAAATGAAACTCTTCAAACACGACCGCATAGGATTGAAATCGAGAGGAACAAGGGGGGAGGGATCGCGGGATCGTTGGCTAGTTTCTCTGACTAATTTTTGGGTCATCAAAGGTAATTTACACATATATTAAACTATGTGTGATAATTGTACTTATTTACACCTGTACCTAAATAAACTTATTTACTTACTTATAGAGACGTTAATTAAGGCAGGTCATTATTGACTGTTGGAACAGGTACTACTGACCTGTCATAATTATGGTATTACATGACATATATATATATATATATATATATATATATATATATATATATATATATATATATATATATATATATATATATATATATATATATATATATATATATATATATATATAATAATTTATAATTTAAATTTAATAATATTTACTATATTATATTATATATTATATATATATATATCACAGTCTGTGAAACTATTAAATTTACTGAATCAGTTACTTTGTATTATTATTTATTTTGGAAATGCATTAGTTCTGTTAAAGGCATCAAAAATACTCCTTTAAAGCACAGTAGTAGTACTCATTCCAAGCATCAAGACACCTTCACTATCATCAAGGATCCGTCAGCAGCATCAAGGGTCCTTCAGCATCAAGAGATCTTCACCAGCATCAAGGATCTTTCACCAGCATCAAGGATCTTTCACCACTGTCAAGGGACTTTCACCAGCATCAAGAGACCTTCACCTATATCAAGGGTCTTTCACCAGTATCAAGATACTAAAATAGTTACTGAGGCCAGCAGTAACAGCCTGGTTGATCAGGCCCTGATCCACCAGGCCTAGTCATGGACCTGGCAGCGGGGGCGTTGATCCCTTGAATATTCTCCAGGTAAGGGTCCTTCACCAGCATCAAGAGACCCTCACCAGTATCAAGAGACCCCTCACCAGTATCAAGAAACCCTCACCAGTATCAAGAGACCCTCACCAGTATCAAGAGATCTTCACCGGCATCAAGAGTATTTTGCCAGCATCAAGAGACCTTCAACATCAAGGGTTCTTCACTGGCATCAAGAAACCTTCAACATCAAGAATCCTTCACCAGCATCAAGGGCCCTTCAACATCAAGGACCCCCCTCCCTACTAGAAGGTAGGCAGGCAAATTCTCAACATAGCCAAGTTATAGTTGGTTCAACTTGACACATTCAACAAGAAGAATTTACATCATTATAAATGTTTAGACAGTCCATCTGAAGTATGAGAAAAAAGTTAACTTTACTGCATCTCAGTAAATTCTGACAGAATCAATAAAGCAACTTTCTACGCAGACTCTCACATCAATATGCATTATGTATTAGTTGGAGTCTAGACTATATTCAATAATCTTTTACAAACACACACACTATATATATATATATATATATATATATATATATATATATATATATATAATATATATATATATATATATATATATATATATATTATTTTTGTGTGTGTGTGTGTGTGTGTGTGTGTGTGTGTGTGTGAATGCACCACGCAGAAACAAGCGGGTATATACAGAGAAAGATAAATAACAGAATGCCCGCTGAGTGGATAAGAGCGCTGCCTGGGAATCTTGACCGTCCCCAGTAACAGTATCGAGTCCTCCTGACTGCGCTCTCTCTCTCTCTCTCTCCAGCGCACACTAAAAGTTTCACCTACCATAACCTTCTCTGGTGAAGAAAACTAGAAGCGCACACAAAAGGAGTTGCAAAACGTTATAAATTTCCCCTGAACCAAAAATACATGAAATATTAAAAAATAAGAAAAAAATGTGCTAAATTTATTTTTATTGTATTTTCGCCGATTTAGAGCAGTTTCAAGCGTTTTATGAGATGCTTCCTTTTTTTTAGCTAAAATACGTAAATTGTCACATTTTTATCAGAAATATTAAAATATAATTACGATCGACCTAACTTTCCCTGAACAAAAATATCATCGCAAACCAAAATATAATTACAAACGCTGTAACTTCCCTTAGCGTGCAAAAAAAATAGCAGGGCACTCGTCTTGTCACCAGAACTTCAAACAGGATTTCACCCATCCATCTGCTGCTACTATCACGACCTTAGACTTGCAGATTATTATAATTATAATTGTGGGGGAGTGCTAAACCCGTAGGATTATACAGCGCATGTGGGGGGGGGGAGATGGAAGGTATTCAGGCTTAATTCAGGGAACCAGAGCACAGATCCAATTCCCTAGATCAAGAGCCCCTCACCAGCATCAAGGAGCCTCCCTTGAGGGATAAGACTTGCAGAGAGGCGTGAAAATTATAAGGGGTGGGGTTTTGAGACTCTCTGATCGCGGGTTCAAAATCCCGCCCTTGGTATGGTTTGACAGAAGGGGGTAAGTGTAGGAAAATAGGAGAAGGGGTAGGGCAAGGAGTAAGAAGCAAGATTATATTGTAATCATACCTAAACGCTAAACCCACAAGGGTCATACAGCATAAGAGGCAAGAAAGGTTAGAAGAGGAGCACGAAAGGGGTAGAAGGAGCAGTAATAGAGTAAGAGAAGCAGGAAAGGGGCAAGATAGAAGCGCGAAAGGGGGTAAGAATGGGGAAGAAAATGGGTAAGAGAGGAGAAAATAGGTAGGGTAGACAGACCCACCAAGGAGCTACAACACCAAGCAGCAATAACCCAGTGCTGGCTGGCAGACACTTCGTATAGCTGATTGACATTACATATATACAGCAAAACAAGCACGTGCAATCCTATAGTATTTCTTTATGGCTATGAGGGATATTATCATACTCAGAACTAAGCGCTAAACCCACTAGGGTTATACAGGCTATGGGGGATAGAAATAGAATGAAAACCCAGAAAAATGCTAATCTCCTTAATTTTGGTGGTAGTGGGTGAATTATTATAATCAAAGAAGGCGCTAAACCGACAAGGGTCATGCAGCTGGTAGTGGGTAAAATATTGATACTGAATAATTAGCAGTGTAGTCTTCCAGCACACTGCGGATAACTGCATTCATGCAGGGAAGCGCTAAACCTACAATGGTCATGTCAAAGGTATACTTTTACTCTTATTGTTACAAAGAAAGCGCTAAACCGGCAAGGGTCATACAGCTATACTTTTACTAGACAATTCTCTTCATCCCTTATGAGAACCTCTCCACAAATACTACTACTGTTAGCAACTTCTTATTGCACCTATTCCAGGCATTTGCCACATTACTTCCCTTATCCAGTCATGTGCGTTTTCTAAATTAAAGAATGTGACTAATTTCTTGACCATTATCTACCTATTGTTCACTATTAAATTCATGGGACAGAGCCAAACCTGTACGGGTCATGCAATGTGTTATTTACTTGCATGTTCAATGTATCTCGATTAGTATAATCAAGTGTTATTATTATAATCAAAAAGAAGCGCTAAGCCACAAGGGCTATACAGCATAATCAAGTGTTAAGCCTGGAGGGTTACACAGTGCTGTAGAGAGGGATAAGTCGGAAAGTAATTACACGTATGAGCGATGGTGAAAGTACTGAATGACTAAAGCTTTTTCTTTCATTTTGGGGTCACCCCGTCACGGTGGGAAACTGCCAACGTGTTAAAAAAAAAAAATAAAGCACTAAACCCTTCAGGGTCATATAGTGCTGAGATGACTATATATAATCAAATTAAACCCTAAACCTGTCAGGCTCATACAGCTCCTGGAGAATGGAAGGCATTCAGGCTCGATTCAAGGAATTGGTGCAGAAGTCAGATTCCTTAGAGCAAGAGCTCCTCACCAGCACTAGGAAACCTTTGAGGGGTGCGTGAAGGATACAATAGTGCCCCCTTCCCCTCGTATATGCTGGCTCCTTTCCCTTCGCACTTGACTAGTTAATGGCCCAAGTCGTTCAAGTTTCAATCTCCACTTTCAGGCTATTTGTATAAATCCTTGAGCAACTGTAATCTTGATGTCTTACCCCTATTTTATGACTTTCAACAGGAAGTACCAAACCCTCAAGGGTTATATAGAATCTAAGAAATGGGAGGCATTCAGGTTAGATTCAAGGAATGGGAGGATAAGTCCAGCTCCAGGGATCAAGGCACCTCTAGAGGAAGTTTTATCCCCAACTTTCAATTATACTTCTAGCACACACTTGTATATAACTTTTAACACCCTATAATTCTTGCTCTTTTGTCTATTTCCCTCATACAGAAAAACTGTTTTATGCCAATCCTTAGGTACATTCATGCACACATTGAACAAATACACCAACCACTCAAACTCCTCGCCCTCCCTCCCTCCCTTCTTGTAACATGTCCATGCTGCTTCAACTCCTTTCCCAATATTCACAGCTTAACTTTTCCTTCCATCACTAATCCCTGCACCATCCATGCATGAAACCATATCCCTTTTTGATTATAATAAAAAAAAAAGCGCTAAACCACAAGGGCCATACAGCTATCCCTTTCTGAACATTCAACTAAAACAAAAATACTCATTAAGTTTCCCAAATGGTGGAGTGCACTAACAAGAATACTCAAGAGATCTGGCATTATGATGAGAATGTCAAGTGCCAAGTTACAATAGGAAGTAATAATTGAAATATTATCAACGTTGGTTAACAAGTTAGGTATGATCATTTATGCTCAAAAAGTGTTTTCAGACAGATTTAATCAAGACCTATTGAACAGTGCAAAAGGAAAGTTGCAGTGTGAATTAGAAATGTTGCACTACAGATGGTGCTATCCATAATCTATACTTTGGATAATAAAACAGCCTAGTGTGTGAAATAATTTGCGTGAAGACTTACGTTATCTTAAAATATGAAATGTAATATTAAGGACAAATATACTGAAAAGTTTTCTTCTATAATAAAATTTAGCAGTATGTAGAAAAGCTCACAATTCAACACTATAGCAATAAAGTGGTGGATTAGTGGAAGACTATTCTTGTATTATCCTCTGTGATATTACATCTAAGACTGTCAATGATAAAGTAATGCCAGCAAGGACCCCAAATTTTTTATTTACAAAACACCAAGTTTGGTTATTTAGCACTTTAAACATTTAGTTCATAACTATCCAATATAACTAAACCTTGGTATTGTCTACCAATTTATAATACTTTTACATAAATCAAACCACAAAAATAAACTTAATGTTTATCATTCTGCAATCCGTATCTATAATCTGAAGTCAGCAGATTTAAATGAAATAAAATAGCCACCATTTATGCTGAAAGATATGCTAGATTCTCTTCCTTGAGAAGAGTGGCATCCTTCCCCAATAGGTCTACTTCCCAATCACCATGCTCAAGTGACCCAGTGTCAGGTGGGGAGGAAATTTGCAAGGAATGCTATTATTTGCACGAGTGTCAATGCTATATCAAGGAACAGGGTTATTCCTTAAAATATATATGCTTTTGCAGCAGGTGGATAAAGTATGCACCTAACCCAGTCAAAAAAGCAAACTTTATGGCAAATATCCTGAAAAACAGCACAATAGAAGAGTTCATAGTGTTGCAGTAACTAAGTCTTCAATTGCGACATTTAATATTGCTCCCAAACTACAGAAAATGTGTTTAAATCATTTTCCACTTTTATCTATGTATTCAACAGTCAAATTCACAGACATGGCTCAAGCTCTTAAGCAGTGAAGTTGCACTTTCCCAAAATGGACATGTTAACTTTCTTCCAATGTGAAAGTGCTATTAAGCCTAAAATTTCTATGGCTATGTTATCTATCCACCCATTTGGGACAAATCTTGCATGATACAATTAAACTCATTCATGGAGCATGCATTAAATACTTTGGGGTCTGAGTAGTTGCTAAACCCATAGAGGTCACACAGCACTTGGGGAATATGAGGCAATCATGCTATATTTGTGGAAGGGGAGATCAGGTTAATTCCTCGAATCAAAAGCCCCTCACTATCATCGAGGAACCTCCTATGTGCGGAATATATAGATTTATCTATTGTTTTGATAAAATGTAATCTTTTTTCCACTGGTTAAGTAAGAGCACTGGCAACTATACAATACAGCACATCACAAATACTTTGTAGCTTAACATATCAGGTATACAGTAGCCACACAATTAACATTATAATAGTCAAAAAGCGCTAAACCACAAGGGCTATAACAAATAACATTAAATATTTTAAATTATCAACTTGTGCTACGTAGAAAGTATTTGGTCAATAGAAACTTTTATTTCCATTTTCCTACTTTACAGTAGTTCTGCAGGAAAAATTATCTAGACGCAATTTAGGAACCTAACAACTTCATTTTCCAAACTCGTTCCCTTTACTATTAAGGGCCATCATTGCCACAATTTCAATGGGCCAGTAAAAGGCCAGAAAATATACAATACATATATGTATATAAAACAAAAAAAAATCTGAAGCACCATATTCTTTAAAGAATAGGGACACCGAAAGGTAACAGGTAATTACACAAATATGGTGACTTTGTGCTTTATTGACCGTGCATCACAGCTGTCATGATCTGGAAATACAAAAACTTCATTAAATCTAGTGTCACCAACTTCTCCCCAAGCAATAGTCATCCCTAAAGGGACTTGATGAACCAATGAAAGGATTTGAATGTGGTGTTTACAAGTTTTATTAATAAATACACCAAGAGGTCTCATACATGTTAACAGACATTTCCGACGTCTTCTCTTTTGGATATAATATCCGTGCCAAACACCTAATACCATCTTCCTTAGACAGATGAAAGCAATAGTAGATACAGTAATTGTGTAATTGAAAAACTGAACCTCTGCCTCTGCTCTGCTAGTACATGTGCAACTAAAGTATTTATTCCCTAAACTTGACATTGCAACAAGTTGCAGGAACAAGTAAGAAGTACAGAATGTAAAGGGTGACATTAACAGTCTATATGATTGTGTGTAATGAAGGGAGGAGGTAAAGGATAGGAAAGAACGAGGAGGAAGAAAGGTTGACAGAGGGGTGGACAGGTTGCCGCCGCTTTCAAAGGGCGGTTCTGTCTATACCCTCAAGTTTTTTTTTTTCCTTTTTCTCACAATTATGTATATATATATGTATATATATATATCTTCAAAAAATTAAAATAGAGGGCTAAAGCCCGTTCTATCTCTTATACCTAAATCTAACTACTGCTGGAAACCATGGAAAAATACCTGAATATTCGCAATAAACAGGCAATAAATGGTGACCACCTGGAACCACAAGCTCAAACAGCTGGCTATTTAAAGAATTCCAGGGAGACACTGCTCAGACACTGTTCACGATTCAGATCAGATGCGTCCAAGCTCTCAGGGTAGATCACGATGTCAGCTCTCGAATGGGGCGGACAGCGTGCACAATCAATTGGCGAATAAGACAGTGGGTCAGAGCAACAACAACCGAGGCTTTATTGTCGCTATAGTCTCACCTAGATTAAATCAAATCAGCTACATTCATTGGCATCTCTTCAATAGAGGTACGGTAGTGCTCTTCAATGTCTTGGAGAATTCTGGTATCTTCAGTAGTCACAAAATTAATGGCCACGCCTTTTCGGCCAAAACGTCCACCTCGGCCAATCCTGAGAAAGTAAATTTTTGTTATGAATACAGTACAAGACCTTGTATGCATAAAGCAAAATTCATTATAATGATGTCTGAATTAGATCAGAAATAAAATTAAGAGAAAGTACTATGTGGTATGGTAAATGCACGATTTTTATAACTGGAAAATCCAAAGAATTTTGAAACAAAAACAAGATCATGTACTGTACATTAATTAAAAGCAAACTTTGTATAGTGAAAAGGTTAAATCATCAGCTTCCCAAGTAAATAATGCACTACTGGGCTCTTCTATACAGTAGTGTGTAGTACAGTACACTAAGTGCTACCTATGTTTGAAAATTCATTAAAGTAGGAAGTAACAAAACATTCAAATGTTAGTAGCCAACATTCAGCATTACCATCTTTACAAATTAATACAAATGTCTTAAACAATTTACAAAAGCTAATGAGCAAGGGGCAATTGATATCAGATGCTGCAAGCATCTAAACTAATTGTGAAGACTCTTAAATGTCAAAAAGGTATATCACAAATACTAAGGGAGAAAAATAATGTGCAAGGCATTTAAATATGAATAAAATCAATGACTTGTGTAATAATACCAATGTACTTCGTATTGTCATCATTTATGGGTAAGCAATGCACCAAGATGTATATACAACCCAAGAAAATGGCTAAATTCAGCTTACACTGATATACATTATTAGTCTATTGTTAAAGCTCATCTAATACATTTGGCATCCTGTGTACTGTTAACCCCCTTTTGGGGTGGGTCCCGTTGTGTTATGGCTTTGAAGCCCCGGCAAGTCCTGTTGTTCTACACGAGTTCAGCTCTCAGATTAGCCGAGTAGTATGAGAATGAGTCTACGTGGTAAATGTACACCACAAAAAAATCCCATAGCATGCAGTCCATAATTGGAAAAAAATATTGTGACTGCATTTTTGGTTTAAAACAGCAACTCTGCGATGTATTTTTTTAGTTTTTATGGTTGTATTCATGATTTCTTAGTCTCATTTGACAGAATGAAAGTTATTACAAAAATAAAAGATGATTTTGATTGCTTTCAGGACTAAACGTACCTTGAAACTGAGCTCAAAGTAGCGGATATTCCAGAGTACACGTATTACGTCACTCGTCCAATACGGATCCAACTGGTCAGTTTAATACATGTTCACAAATGCACTGACATACAATTATTACAACAATGCAGTAGTCTGCATAACAGTAAATAGTTTTTGTGTGTGTAAATAATTCAAAATAGAAAGCAAGCATAATATTGGAGAGGCCTGGGGACATAACTAATGAACAGAGGAATTTTTTTTTAATGCCACGAATGTCTACATTGTTCATTCCGGACCCTATTTTTAAAGTGGCAATTTTTTTTTTGTGCAAAATTGACCAAATTACTGATTTTTGATCACTTTGTTGGGTAGTTAAAATTGGTAAATGGGTGGTTTCTTGTACTCAATCGTTAAAACAAAAGGAATAGTGAAATAGCTACAAGTTCGGTCAACTAACAATAGAACTGACCAAAAATAAGACTCAAAGTGAGTGAAAGTGCTGATGTGTAAATATCGCCAAGACTGCTAACTTTGTGAGAGCACAATTCCATAGTTTCCATTAAATTTTGTAGTTTTGGTTTTATTTCCTTCGGAGAAAGATTCTCTTCATTTCATAAATTTTTTTTTTTAACCCTTAAACGGTCCATACGTATATATACGTTCACGCGCGTAGCGCCCCAAACGTATACATACGTTTTATTTTTCATTCGTTCAAAATTAGCGCAACAGGCCTGAGTCGCCTAGACATGAGAGAGTGGGTGTGCGCAGTATACAAAAAATCTGGGACGCCTGGGTACCACATGGTAGGACCAGTTACATTCAGCTCCATCCTGGGTCAACATCATGACACATCCTCGTGATTCGAGGAAAGTGATAAGAGATCGTGAGTTTAGTGGATTTGACACCAATGGGGCCAGTAATATTCAAGGAATTAGTGAAAATATCGACGATAACCCAGATGACCCCCAGCCCATCACCTCTGGGGTAGCGACACCTGTCCTAGGGCCAAGCACCTCTGGGGTAGCCAGTGTGCCCATATCAGACCCTAGGCCAAGCACTTCTGGGGTGGCCAGTGTGGCCACAGAAGACCCTGGGCCAAGCACCTCTGCAGTGGCAAGTGTTACCCATAGGCAACTTCACAAGAGGAAACTATCATTTTCCCGGTGTTTTAGCAGTGATAGTGAAAGTGATGTAAGTGATGATGAGATTGATTTTATGCCAATTGAGGATTCGTCTAGTGATAGTGACGTTCATTATTCACCAGTGAAACTTACTTTTAGGCGTCGTTATCTATGTTCAGGCAGTGTGCCATATGCAATCCCCAAGGGTCGTGGCAGGTCACGATCCAAAACCCTGGCCACTGATAGTGAAAGTGATCATGAAGGGGAGTATGCGGGGATGGAGGAAGTAGTGGTGGGTGGCATGGTGCCTGGACCACATGGCGCAGTGGATGGACAGAAAGGACCGCCCAGCACCCCCTCAACCATGTGCTGCCTCCACTCCTCTCCCTCCTCCTCCTGCCCCCCCTCGCCCCATGCCACAGGTCCACCCTGCACCATGTGATTGTGAGTGGAACTGGACACAAAGTATATTCGTGCCACAGCCTTGTGATTTTGATGCTAGTGGAAGTGGTATCCAGCCAGAATGTCCCATAACGAATGAGTCTACAGAGTTAGACTATTTCCAGTTGTACTTTGACGAGCCTATAATGAACTTGATAGTGACTCGGACAAACATTTATTACCAACACGTCATGAACAACACAACAGAGGTTGGAGAATCATCACGGCTGCACAGGTGGAAAGACACAACAGTGGCTGAAATGTATTTATTCCTTGCTACTGTCATGCTTATGCCACATATCTATAAGAACAACATACGTAGTTACTGGTCTACAGACCACTTTATCAGTACTCCAGTTTTCCGTGACCTCCTTCCCTGCAACAGCTTCACACTGTTGCTACGAATGTTGCACTTCGCAGACAGAAATACGCCAGACAGAAATGACCTATACAAAATCCGGGAAGTGTTTATGTATTTGAAGCAGAAATTCAGTGTATACTTTTATCCCTTCAAGAACATTGTTATCGAGTCCTTGATTCTGTTCAAGGGACGCCTGTCATTCAAGCAATATATACCGAGCAAACGTAATCGCTTTGGTATAAAACTTTTTGTGTGCGACTGTGAGAGTGGTCTTGTGTTGGATGTAATTGTATACACAGGGAAAAACACACTCGATGATGACAGAAGGATGTTGGGCATTTCCGGTGATGTTGTTCGCAGGATGATGGAACCATACCTTGGCAAGGGCCATACATTGTACACAGACAACTGGTATACAAGCCCTATGCTTGCTGATTTCCTACGTGTGACCAATACTGATATATGTGGAACAGTGAGAAGGAATAGGAAACATATGCCAAGGTTCACTGGAGGCAGTGTTGAAGGTGAAGTGCAAGCGTTTCATGCTAATGACATGGCACTGACGTGGCATGACAAACGAGACGTGACATATTGCTATCAACCATCCACAGAAACGAGATGGTACAAACAGACAGACTGAGCAAGTTCAACAACGAACCTATTGTGAAGCCACTTGCTGTCTTGGACTATACGAACAACATGCGACTAGTTGACAAGTGTGACATGATGATAGGGTTTGTTGACTGTGTGCGTAGGAGTCGCAAGTGGTATATAAAACTTTTTTCACCTTGTAGACATTGCAGTGATCAATGCATTCAATATGTACGAAGTAAAGACTGGAAAATGACAATGCTTTGCAGATTTCTCTCTGAATCTTGTCAAACAGATAGCAAGAAAGTATGGTACCACACCTGTACCTTCCCCTCAACAGCGACCTGTCACACCACAACCTGTCCCCCAACCACAGCCAGTGGGGGAAGTGCCAGACCGAATCACTCCTAACTGTCACTATCTGGTACCAATACTGCCTACCAAAAAGAAGAATGCCCAGAAAAAGTGTATTGTGTGCTCTACCACCAAAAAACGACCCCAACAGCGGAAGGACACACGATTCATGTGTCACCAGTGTGGGGTGGCACTGTATGAATACATGCTTCATGGAGTATCATACAATTGTGGAGTTCTAGAAACATAAGTGGGACATGTAAATACTTGTATATAGTTGTAGATAATGTGCAATTCAGCCAGGTGTGCAAAATAACCTGTCAGTGTGTGTGTGTGTTTATGACAATATGATAAAAATTTTGTATGTAATATTGGTGTATAAAAAAAAATTGGCATTGATATCAAATGACTTACTATGAAACAATTATGATATCATGAAAACCAAGAAAATGAAAAAAAATGGAAGAAAACGGTAAATATGTTGAATTTCTGCAAGCAGCAGTGCTCCACGTTGCTGTCAGGTGATTGCCAAGTGCCAACTTCGCAGCCTCATACCTCGGTAAGTAATGACCCTAAATTATTTTTTTTTATGCTAAAACACTTAAATTAAAAAAAATGTGCTCTTTTTTTTTCTATATAATTTTTTTTTTTTTCAAAATATTCGGGGCGCTGCGCGAGTGAACGTATATATATGTTTGGACCGTTTAAGGGTTAAATTCTCCAACCATGATAGGAAGTTCCAGACCAGGGATTCCAACCCTCAAGGGTTAATTACCCTAAACTGGTTCAAGTACTGAACCTTTACTCTGAGATACTTCAAGATTAACAAAAACAAGCTAACACAAAGGCACAAGAAAATAAGAAAAAAAGGAGTCCTTTTGATAATATTTTAAAACTAACTTCAAAGAAAATGAACCTTAGCATCTTCCTCACCTGTGGATATAGTTCTCCCTGTTGGTTGGCAAATCATAGTTGATAACCAAGGACACCTGCTGGACATCAATACCTCGGGCCAACAGGTCAGTAGTAATAAGGACACGAGATGAACCAGAACGGAACTCACGCATAATCACATCGCGCTCCTTTTGGTCCATGTCACCATGCTGTAATAATATTAAAATTAAGGAATTAATATCCACTTTTTTTTTTTTTGTCAGCCGTCTCCCACCAAGGCAGGGTGACCCAAAAAGAAAAAATTCCCAAGAAAATACTTTCATCATCATTCAACACTTTCACCTCATTCACACAATCACTGCTTTTGCAGAGGTGCTCTGAACAACAGTTTAGAAGCATATACATATGAAGATACACAACATATCCCTCCAAACTGCTAATATCCCAAAACCCCTCCTTTAGAGTGCAGGCATTGTACTTCCCATTTCCAGGACTCGAGTCCGGCTATGAAAAAATAACCGGGTTTCCCTGAATCCCTTCACTAAATATTACCCTGCTCACACTCCAACACATCAGGTCCCAAATACCATTCATCTCCATTCACTCCTATCGAACACGCTCATGCACGCCTGCTGGAAGTCCAAGCCCCTTGCCCACAAAACCTCCCTTACCCATTCCTTCCAACCTTTTCAAGGATGACCCCTACCCTGCCTTCCTTTCCCTACAGATTTAAATGCTCTCCATGTCACTCTACTTTGATCCATTCTCTCTAAATGACCAAACCACCTCAACCCCTCTTCAGCCCTCTGACTAATACTTTTAACTGCACACCTTCCCCTAATTTCCGCACTCCAAATTTTCTGCATATTTACACCACACATTGCCCTTAGACAGGACATCTCCACTGCCTCCAACCACCTCCTGCTGCTGCATTCACAACCCAAGCTCACACCCATATAAGAGTGTTGGTACTACTATACTTTCATACATTCCCTTCTTTGCCTCCATAGATAACGTTTTTGTCTCCCCACATACCTCAACGCACCACTCACCTTTTTTCCCTCAACAATTCTATGATTAACCTCATCCTTCATAAATCCATCTGCCGAAACGTCAACTCCCAAGTATCTGAAAACATTCACTTCTTCCATACTACTACTACCCAATTTGATATACAATTTTTCTTTATCTGAATCATTTGATATCCTCATCACCTTACTATTTTCTATGTTCACTTTCAACTTTCTACCTTTACACACACTCCCAAACTCATCCACTAACCTTTGCAATTTTTCTTTAGAATCTCCCATGAGCACAGTATCAGTAAAAAGCAACTGTCAATTCCCATTTTGTATTTGATTCCCCATAATTTAATCCCACCCCTCTCCCGAACACCCTAGCGAGGGGTTTGGACTTCCAGCAAGCGTGCTCAAGTGTGTTAGATAGGAGTGAATGGAGATAAATGGTATTTGGGACCTGATGAGCTGTTGGAGTGTGAGCAGGGTAAAATTTAGTGAAGGGATTCAGGGAAACCGGTTATTATATATAACCAGACTAGTCTTGGAAATGGGAAGTACAATGCCTGCACTCTAAAGGAGGGGTTTGGGATATTGGCAGTTTGGAGGGATATACATATTGTGTATTTTTATACATATATACTTCTAAACTGTTGTATTCTGGGCACCTCTGCAACAACAGTGATTATGTGTGAGTGTGGTGAAAGTGTTGAATGATGATGAAAGTATTTTCTTTTTGGGGATTTTTTTCTTTTTGGGTCACCCTGCCTCGATGGGAGACTGCCAACTTGTTGAAAAAAAAAAATGCATAAAAAAAAAAATGTTGGAGGGGAAAACTTCATTGCAAAATTAGTATACTGATATAAAAACTTGCAAATTAAAAAAAATACCAAAGCATTATTTTTTATGAATATGCCCGATTATATTCTCAATCTTAAGAATGAATAAAAAAAAATTGGAAAAAAATGGTATGAAAAGTATTCAGGACACATCACCATATGTTTCTGTTATTGGGTTGAAGGGTTGCAATGGACCCTAAGCTGTCCATTCTTCAATCCAACAATGCTCATCCATTGCCTGTTGAAATTCTTTAGTGCAACAGCCATGGGATTTGAGACTTTCACTAAAACTTTCTGTAAATTATGGCATCAATACTTCTCAATTTATATTCACCACAATCATTAATGCAACATTAGAAACTATTACTGCTGATGGATTGTTATTTGGAGATTGGGAGGAAATTCATATGGAGAATGTAACCGTTGAGTGCATATATAAATGTATTGCAATGTGACTGGAGAATGTAACCGTTGAGTGCATATATAAATGTATTGCAATGTGACTGGAGAATTGCATTAATAATGTAAATTTAGGGGTTACATTACAGATACTGAGATGACATCCTTGAAAGAGGAGTCTTGTTCAAAGACATGACTAAAACCTGACAATTTTTTTTATAAACATTTTCAGTTTACTCCCATTTCAAAACTGATTATGCAGATGTGAAACCTGAGCATTTTTGAGTAAAAAAAAAAAAAAAAAAAAGTATATCTGATTCCAGGAAAATAATACTTTTTTTTTTTTTTTTACCTTAACAGTCTCCTACCAAGTGACCCTAAAACAGTTAAAAACATTCACCACCACCACCGCCATCCTTCCTTCAGTGAAAGCACTGTACTTCCCACCTCCAGGACAGAAGTCTGGCTAACCAATTTCCCTGATTTCCTTACAAGTTACCTTGCTTACAGTGGAACAGCACTCAAACCATAATAGTAATAATAATAATAATAATAATAATAATAATAATAATAATAAAAAAACTCCAGCCCTCTGATCTATCTATCACTTACACAACCCCCTTGCATTGAAAACTTCTCTTTACCCCTTCCTCCAACTATTCCTGAGATGACCCTTACCCTTCCTTCCATCCCAGATTTATACACTATTGGTTATCATATCTGACTGATCTCTCCCAATGCCCAAACCATCTCAACCCCTTTTCAGCCCTCTGAATTAGATCTCTGATGTCCATACCATCTTTAATTTCTATGCTAAGACTTCCAGTAAATTATTTAAACCACACATTGCTCTCAAACATTATCCCCACTGCCTCCAGCCTCCTCCTAACATTTTAAGCTATTACCATATAAACCACATATAAACCTCTTTCTTTCCATAGAAGCCTCACACACTGCCTACCCTTTCCTTTCCTTGTCTACTATGGTTCACCTTGTCTTTCATAGCCACATCTGCTAACATGTCCACTCTGACATACAGTGGATCCTCAATATTTGTACGTCCCTACATTTGTACAACTATATTCACCCAACTTCGAGAAATTTTTTGACTCCATATTCGGATGTTGCCCTGACATTTGACCTAAACAAAATGGTCCGTCTGGACAAAGTCCAATGAAAACATAGTATCACAGGCTCAGTCTCTCATTGGCTTTCGTTCATACAAGCTCCGTGAAACTTTGGTATTTCATTGTTTTCTGTGGTATTTAAAGTAGTTTCATTGAATAAAACAAGTAACCATGGCCTTAAAGAGACTAGTGATCCAAGGAAGCCTAAAAGGAAAGCAGTGAGAACAATTAAAGTGAAGAAAGAACTCATTGCTAAGTGGAACACTTGTAGTAAAGGATTGTTTCTCTGGACCGTCCATGGGTTTGGAAATAGACAATGAGGATGCAGAGGAGTTGGAGGATCACAAGAATGAGCTCACCACAGAAGAACCTCAAGACCTGCACAAATAGCAGCAAGAAGTCATTGAGGAAATTTCTTCAGGAGGGGAGGAGGGGGGGGGGGGGCATAGACCAGTAAGGGCATTTCCAGGGCAGAGCCTGGTGGAAAAATGGCATCCTAACTTTACTGTTGTAAAAAGGAGCATCAACCTGTTCTATGACAATGTTGTTGACCCCTTTAGAATTTTTTTTTTTAAAAGTTGTCAAAAATAGACAACACTGGACATTTTCTTGAGCAAAGACAAAAATGCTAGTAAATCCCCATCATCTTGAAGTGCTACTGCACAGACAAAACAGAAAACACAAAACGGGCAGTTACCTGTGTTTTATGGACGGTGACAACACCCTTTCCAAACATCTCTCCACCTTCCTCTTAGGCCATCAGCACTCCTCAGTTAAGGTAAATTGCAGTTAAATTTACATTTATTTCATGAATTTATTGTTTTTATAATTCTCGCATAAAATTTTATGTATGCAATTATTATATGGGTTTAAATAAGCAATATTTTCACTTAAATTTTTTTATAATTGGTAATTTTTTAGGGTCTAGAATGAATTAATCCAACAATTTCTTATAGCAAAAATTGGTACAACTCTATATGAACAGCCTACTGGGACGGATTAATTTCGAATATCGAGGTACCACTGTATCTTAACACATTCACTTCCTCCAGTATCATAAATCTTTCATTACCTCTCACTGCCTTGCTCTTTTCAATGTTTTTTTTTTTTTTTTTTTTTAACCCTCTCAAATTCCTCCACTAATTTTTGTAACGAAAGTTCATTTCTCAGCTAAAACCGTTAGGAACAATTGCCTCAATGGAAGCATACTTAAACTAAAAAAAATGCTTAGGCTGGCCCACGCCTAGCTCTGGGAGTAGAAGAACTCTTGCAACTCATCAAAGGTATGCTTCCCTGGTGAGGGAGCCAAGGATCTAACATTACTGTCACTTAGGTCTACTTCAGGCCACTTCTGGCCTGAAACTGACAAAAATAATGTTCATATCACCAGTATATCTTAAAGAATCCAGTGAAAAACAGACAATAAAACCAACAAGACCTTTCTCTCTCCCTGAAAATGTCTCGGTCACTATTTTAACCTAAACAAGGTCAGAAGTTTATGTCTCATAACACTGCATGGGCATGCTAGTAAATCATGGACAGCACAGGGCATTAAGTGTCTGGCAATACTGTTATGCTAATTTTTTATCAGTATGCTATGAAAAAGACTGGAATGTAATTTGTATGGCACCTGTTCCTATTTTAATGGGAAAAAAAAAGAAAACAATATTCAACTTACCATGGCAGATACTGTGAAATCTCTCTGGTGCATCTTGTCTGTAAGCCAGTCCACCTTCCTACGAGTGTTGCAGAAGATGACAGCCTGGGTGATGGTTAAGGTTTCATACAGATCACAGAGTGTCTCCAGCTTCCAGTCTTCCTTTTCTACATTTACATAAAACTGCTTAATACCTGTGAGAAAGAACATTAATTCAAGTGATATTCCAGTACACGAGAAAAAAAAGAGAAAAAAGGGAAAAAAAGTTAAAGTGGAAAGCAAAATGCATAGAAAAAAATGCAAAATGAAAAAAAAAAAAGAAAAAGTAGGAAGGAAACAGGAAAATGAAAAAATATTGATAAAAAGGGAGAGAATAAGAAAATAGGGGAGAAAGGATAAAAAGAAAAACAGCAGAGGAAAATGTAATAAAATAGGAAAAAAGGAAAAAAAAAAAAAAAAAGTACAGGTCGGCCATCACTAATCTGGCACTAATTTCGGTTAGCATAATTTCAAATTTCATCATTATACTGACTCAAATTGTGCAGATAGCTGTAAATCCACAGCTGCAAGCCAGTGGAGGAGAAAGCAATTATGAAAATGAGGAAGATGTAGCAGAAAGTGTGTATTGATAGGTCAATTAAGTGTATTCTAACCTAACCACTTTGTAATCCAGCACACTATGTTACAAGTTGTCAAGTTTAAAGCTATTTAGAACAGAATGCTGCAGTAGGCCTACCAAGGACCAACTTAGTACTGCTAAGTGAACAGGGGCAACAGGTGTACAGCAACACGCCCAACATTTCCATTTGTCTGGAAACTGAATCCAGATTCCTCAGCTGCACTGGTCAGTCACCAGGGAGCCCTATATCAGTGTGTCAGGCAGCATCAACTGCCAACACATGTATAAAGCCACACTTTTCCTACCATTCTGTACCTATGGTTGCTGTTGCTTGTTGATATGCAAATATGCATATAACTTGCCACCTATATACAAAAACACACCAAACACGAAAGCATCCAAGAAAGAATAGAGAAAAGCAGTAGTATGGCCTTCCCTAGGTTGCAGAAATCTCTGAACAAAAATGTATTTGTCTGTACCACCTTTTTTTTAATTTTATTGCAAGAAATACTGAAATTTGCAAAAATGTAATATTTAGAACAAAACTAAGTGATATTTAGAAGCACAGAATATAATTTTAATAGGAATATTTAGAAGCATAAAAGGGAGCCTATTACAAACTTTTTAGCCTAACGAACTCATTATAAAACTAGAATATCAGGCTGCTGAAATTGGCATATTTATTTTAACCAAACTACCTATCTCCCACTAAGTCACAGTGACAAAATCATTCAATAGCAGTCTTGCCAAAAGTGCAGGAACATCACAATTCACGGCCTGGCAAACTGCAACACCCACCCATCCTCGAGTGTGGGGGCACTGTACTTCCTACCTCCAGGACTCCAGCTAACAGGTTTCCTGGCTTAATGTGTAAGCTATGATGAACACCAATGATGCCATACCTTCTAATGTAAGCTCTTCTTTCTTAACCAAGATGGTGATAGGGTCTCTCATAAATTTAGTTGTTACATCCATTACATCAGCAGGCATGGTGGCAGACAGAAGAACCACTTGAACGTCATTAGGAAGGAAGCGGAAGACATCATAGATCTGATCCTTGAAACCACGGGACAACATTTCATCAGCCTCATCTAAAACGAACATCTTTATATTCTTGGGATCTGGAAGGGTAAGAAAAGTATTAAACAAGTAGGATTGTGGCCAAGATTATAAAACAACACATCTGGACATTTTATATAAAACTCCATACACACGGTATTCAGAGGATGCCTGTGCCTTGACAGCCAAGGCTAAGCCATTTAGCAATTTTGTAGTTCAACAGAATATAGGACTGACTACCAAGTGAGTGACAACGACACAACTTACATTTCTCATCAACAGCAGGATTTTTAGTGAAATCCTATGTTCATTTATCTTTTACACACTATACCTCAAGTGATACTCCTTGGGGAAGTGGTACAGAATTTTTCCCCCGTAAGCCATGCGTGTCATAAGAGGCGACTAAATTGCCGGGAGCAAGGGGCTAGTAACCCCTTCTATATACATTACTAAAGTTAAAGAAACTTTTTTCTTTTTTAGCTACCCTGCTTTGGTGGGATACAGCTGATTTGGAAGAGAATAATTGAGAGAAAAAGAAAAAAAAGAAAGGAAAAAAAAATAGAGAAAGAGAAAGTGGTAATGCCAAGTCATATTTACCCATTATTTGGGCGATACAGCCCATTCAACTATCAGAACTACTCTTTGAAGTCTAATATGGCCAATATTACACAAAATTCAGCAAATTCCAACTTGAAAACAAAGTCCAAATAAACACTACACATTCGTCACTAAAGCAACCTATCTTCTGTTCATTAATCACGTCCCCAGGCCTCTCCTCTAACACTTTCCTTCCATTTTGAGTCATTACAATAAAACAGAAATCAAATATAGCCAAGAATGACTGATCATGGTTTAGGGTGTCCCAGTAACTGAAGCCAACTGAATATCCATAAAACAGACCAGGGTGGAAGGGTGAAATTATGAGGCCTTACCATGCCTCAGGAAAAGTAAAAGGTAGCACATTTCTACCATGCTGAGCCTTATTTCAAGCTACTTAGTCCTGAAATTGATCAAAATCATCTATTTCAGTAGCCTATTCAGTCTCGGTCAATCAATACCAAGAAACAGCCAATAGTCAACCATTACAGAAAAAACATCAGTTGCTATTTTAAACCAAACAAGGTCTGAGGCTTGTCCTCCCCCCCCCCCTAATCATTCACTGCAAAGGGGAATATTTTTTTTAATACATCGAACTTTCACTGTGCCATCCCATTCTCGCATATCTAGGCTAAAATTTACCATTAAACATATGAGGGCATTGCTTAAAATACATATCTACTTTAGCAACACTGGCATCAATAACAGACTTGTGCAAGACAATGAAATAATTAACTTTCTTTATTTCCCCATTATCTTCATTTTTAGTCTAATATTAATCAGACTATGTACATGTGTATATGTACATGTATATGTGGAGTCAAAAAAACGTTATCTATGGAGGCAAAGAAGGGAATGTATGAAAGTATAGTAGTACCAACACTCTTATATGGATGTGAAGCTTGGGTGGTAAATGCAGGAGCAAGGAGACGGTTGGAGGCAGTGGAGGGCAATGTGTGGTGTACATATTATGCAGAAAATTCGGTGTGTGGAAATTAGGAGAAGGTGTGGAGTTAATAAAAGCATTAGTCAGAGGGCAGAAGAGGGGTTGTTGAGGTGGTTTGGTCATTTAGAGAGAATGGATCACAGTAGAATGACATGGAAAGCATATAAATCTATAGGGGAAGGAAGGCGGGGTAGGGGTCGTCCTCGAAAGGGTTGGAGAGAGGGGGTAAAGGAGGTTTTGTGGGTAAGGGGCTTGGACTTCCAGCAAGCGTGCAGTGAGCGTGTTAGATAGGAGTGAATGGAGACGAATGAGTACTTGGGACCTGACGATCTGTTGGAGTGTGAGCAGGGTAATATTTAGTGAAGGGATTCAGGGAAACCGGTTATTTTCATATAGTCGGACTTGAGCCCTGGAAATGGGAAGTACAATGCCTGCACTTTAAAGGAGGGGTTTGGGATATTGGCAGTTTGGAGGGATATGTTGTGTATCTTTATATGTTTATGCTTCTAGACTGTTGTATTCTGAGCACCTCTGCAAAAACAGTGATAATGTGCGAGTGTGGTGAAAGTGTTGAATGATGATGAAAGTATTTTCTTTTTGGGGATTTTCTTTCTTTTTTGGGTCACCCTGCCTCGGTGGGAGACGGCCGACTTGTTGAAAAAAAAAAAAAAAAAAAAAAAATTCAGGGAAACCGGTTATTTTCATATAGTCAGACTTGAGTCCTGGAAATGGGAAGTACAATGCCTGCACTTTAAAGGAGGGGTTTGGGATATTGGCAGTTTGGAGGGATATGTTGTGTATCTTTATACGTATATGCTTCTAAACTGTTGTATTCCGAGCACCTCTGCAAAAGCAGTGATAATGTGTGAGTGTGGTGAAAGTGTTGAATGATGATGAATGTATTTTCTTTTTGGGGATTTTCTTTCTTTTTTGGGTCACCCTGCCTCGGTGGGAGACGGCCGACTTGTTGGAAAAAAAAAAAAAAAAAAATGTACAAATCTTACTTTTCTAATAGCTGCACAAATTTTGTTATGCTGTCAAAACACTTACTTAGAACTCTGCGGTTTATCATATCATATACACGACCAGGTGTGCCCACAATGATTTGAACACCCATCTCCAAGCGACGCATGTCTTCACGAAGGTTAGTACCACCAATGCACGCGTGGCATGTCACATTCATGTAATCGCCCAAAGCAAGTACCACCTTTTGAATCTGCAATAAAGTTATTCTCATGAATGTCAGAATATAAATTTGCTAGTTAAACATTAAGTATTGCCTTGCTCTTTCCTATCCTCAACATAGCTATATCTACATTTTTCTTTATACTGCAGAGAGAATAGACATACAAAAATACAGGAAAGTAACAAGGGAAAATAAGCATGAATAGAATGGCACAAAAAAATATAAATGGGAAAATTTGACTGAAAGAGCAGTTAGTGAAGATAGTGAAAAACCTGACCACCTGACAGTGTATAAGAATAGAATTAAGATGGAGAAGTAGAGATGTCTATCCTATACTTCCTCTCGAAAGTATCATTTCAATGAGTGACTAGTAATAATGAAAAGTATAAATTTTAAAAATTAACCAAAGATCCACTAACAGATGAAGTAACTCATTCACATCACACTACCAATTCCAACAGAATATACTTCTACCAAAAACTGATATAATGTTAAACTACAGAACTATTAGCATTTTATCTGAGCAACTGACCCATGTCAGTCATTAAGGTTGGTGGTCAAAATTTCGGCCAACTTTTTTATTTTTCAACCAATTTTTTTTATTTTTTGGTGTACGTTTAGAGGTTCATATGCAGAAGAATGTGACAAAGTTTCAGTATGATTGGCCAACAGAAAAAAATATTTAATGACTTTTCATATATGGCAGCAAGGCATGACAAAATGGCACTACGCGTGGCACTTCCGACAATCCCAACCGTTAGAATTCATCCAACACGAATTTTTGATGCACATGTTTCATCTAATATATCTTATTATCATGGAAAAAAAAAAATACATTTGATAGATTTTTTGGCATTCACCAAAATATCTGCCTTTTACCTCCCACAAAATCAAAAATATTTTATATATTCCAAAAAAAGAAGCACCAACTAGTCAAACACACTTTTATATTGTCTGTGAAAATCATTTCAATACAATCATTAATAATGGTGTAGGTAAGCGAAATAAGTGAAAAAGTTACTTCCGAGATAGAGCCCTGGAACGCCGGCCGACCCGCCGTCTCAATTTTTTTTTTTCGCAAAAATCGCGTTTGTTTCAGTGGTTTTCTAAGTAAACTGATGTTCTAGTGCAGTTATCCTCTTCAAAATACCGTTTTCTATCACTCACAGACCAAACAATACAACAAGGAGACGAGGAGTAACTCATTTATATCGAAATATTGCTGGTGGACTCTCGCCATATTATCGCCTATTTTATTCAGTCTAGAGTACATAACATGTTTGTTATTTATAGTGATTATTATATCATATTAGATCAATTCTGATAGATAAATAAGCCGTATAGTTGATATATAAGCTGATATAAGCGTAATAATGAAGTGATTTCACCTGGCACCGTCTGGAGGGGGAGTACTGCCGAATGTTCTCAGATGGCTCCAGATTGGCTGGCACTCTACTGATAAGCTCCACCTACTCTTATATGATGCCAAATAATCAATTATTATATTAGAAAGAATAATGCAAAGAAAAAGCGATAAAAAACAAGGAAAAAATTCCAAAAAATACATGGGTTGAGATCAGACCCGCTACCTACATCACCGTTACCATACCTGATATAAATGACTATAATTTCTTGTAGAAACGTCTTAGAACATTGATTCTTGTACCATTGTGTTGCCAAAGAGTTAAGCTATTTTTGTATATGAATAACTCAATTTCCATAATTTTTTTATTTTTTTCTTGAGCGCACGCTGAAAATTCCCCGCCCGTCCTTAATGGATGTCCACCAATTTTTGATCTTTAGCTTCACTTAAGCATTTATTTTTTGGCATAGTCCAATTTCTTTACCCTTCCAATACAGTAAACATATTAATCAGTTATGCATACTTTCCAGCATTACATGAACTTGTAGAACAAACTATATTATACTCTGAAACTGACTAGGAAATGGGCTTCAAAGGCCTAGCAAAAATTATATGCTCATTTTCCCAAAATTCTGGTTACAAAGGGGAAACGTTTAAAATAAAATTTTGGTACAGTACAACTCAAATATTTGAAATGCAATTTTTTTTATACATGCTTAAGCAATATTAACCATCACATTCCTCTCATTACAAGTTTCAAAATATGTTGGACAAAGAAAATGTGCATAAATTCTCACCTGCTGAGCCAATTCTCTGGTAGGTGCCAAGATAAGGGCTTGAGTCTCATTGGACTTTACATCAATTCTTTGAAGGATAGAGATGGAAAATGTAGCAGTTTTACCAGTACCAGATTGAGCTTGGGCAATGGCATCATGTCCCTTAATGCAAGGCAAGATGGCACGCTGCTGGATAGCAGAGGGTTTCTCAAAACCATAGGCATAGATACCTCTTAATAAACTTTCTCCTAGATTCATGTCATCAAAACTTGTTGCTACCTGTAAATACAGATCAAATATTAGGATTTTAAGAGAAAATTTCTACCAGTGACAATAACTACTGTTGCAAATATTTTTTTCCTACAACTGAACTGCAGATCATTCCAGGTTAATTATCTAACTATTAAATAAAGCCTGCTAAGTAAAACTAGCATGACAAAGTATGAAGCATTTGCTCTTTGATGGTAATTAACTTATCTTGCTCTCAGTGCCCCCCTCCCCAATGTATCACCATACACATACCTTTGGAAACTTTTACTAAAATTATAGGGAGAGAACATGAACATCAGCAATCTGTGTTAGCAAAAAGCACTGTAAGGATGCCATATTTGTTTGTCGTATGTTAGCTTCATGCTGAAATTTATATTATGAAAACTGAAATTTTCAGCAAACCTAAGATTAATTCTATATATTTAAAACAGATCAAGTGGAATCAAGTGAAACAGGTTCAATTAGCATAGTGATCAATGTTCTAGTCATACACTAAAAACATCCAAGAAAAATACTTAACACTACTGGGTCTATTGATTTATTGGAAAATTCAGGTTTATTAAAACGCATTTTATTGATTTTTATTGACTTCCAGCAGGTATCCATGAGCGTGTTTGATAGGAGTGAATGGAGACAAATGGTTTTTAATACTTGACGTGCTGTTGGAGTGTGAGCAAAGTAACATTTATGAAGGGGTTCAGGGAAACCGGCAGGCCGGACTTGAGTCCTGGAGATGGGAAGTACAGTGCCTGCACTCTGAAGGAGGGGTGTTAATGTTGCAGTTTAAAAACTGTAGTGTAAAGCACCCTTCTGGCAAGACAGTGATGGAGTGAATGATGGTGAAAGTTTTTCTTTTTCGGGCCACCCTGCCTTGGTGGGAATCGGCCAGCGTGATAATAATAATAATTTTATTGATTTATATCTTCTGCACAGAAATTAAGAAATTTACATTATCAATATATTGAGAGATGATAGGGAAACTACATTCAAATCAATATTTATAGAAGTGGGATTGGTACAAGATGCATTTGTTCTATTCAGAAATGGGGTGGTTATGAAAATTCTTATATTTTAACTCAAACATTTACTCTGATCTGAATTAAAAGTAGCAATGTTGATATATCAAAGTAAAACACTGGTCAATGGGAGAATCCTTCTCTGAATGTACAGTTCAAAAGCCACCATCACATTCTCTGCCCATCAAGCAAATTGCCATGGCCCTACACTAACAATTTAGCTATTAGATATCTTTTCAGTCAGTTTTACAAAATCCAAACATTTCACCACCATTAGTCTATTTTCTCTAGAAGTTTACCTCAGTCCAGCTGGATTCAATGACACCATCCACATCCATGCCAGCTGGGCCATCATAATCCTTTGGCTCACTGTTTCCTCCACCACTGTTACCACCTGAACCCCAGTCTTCATCCCTGTCCCTAACAAGAAAAAATGTCAAGTTAAAAGTTTTTCTGCAAGGGAGAAAAAAAAAATTAAAGTTTAAAGCAGCTAAAATAAACATTAAATTCTTTGTAATATAGTCAGTTTAGTCAAATCACAATATTATACTGTATGCAAAATTACCAGGCAAGACTGCCCAAAAAGCCAATTTTATTTAAATTTAAACCACAGGTTCGAGCAAGCCAAAAGTATCAGTTCATTAACTAGATGTACACAATGTTCACACTTCTATACACCTCCCCAAATATGAATCAGAAGCAACACAAACACATTTATATGAGGCATATTACAAACTAATAAGAGTACAGTACAGGTGCACATCCCTTTATCCGAAGCCCTTGGAGTCTGTATTGTTTTGAATTAGACTTTTTTTGAATTTCAGAATGATTTTCAATGCTACCATGTGGCAGCGTGACCCAGCAAGGAGACGACCGACACTAGACGAAAAAAATTCGGTTTACGGAACTTCTCAAATTTCAGAATTTCGGATCAAGGGATGTGGACCTGTATGTTTCAGAAGTGTGTGCAATTTTAATAGTTACCTTGTTTCCCCATCTCTGTAAGAAAGACAAATAATTCTTTAGAAACCAGTAGAATACTGTACATAAATATTATAAAAGCACAGCAGTCCTACATTCCAAAGTGTGTTCAATTATTTCCATTTAAAAATTAAAATATATTTCAAAATTAGAGCAGGGCTTGCATCTTCAAAAGTCCATGTAAAACTGGCACCAAATTCTTGACAAATTTATGCTATCAGCATCTTCCCCAATCTAGAACAGCATGAGTATTTTAAATGTACAAATTTCAGCAGTGATATCTAGATTGCTATTTTAACTGTAAACAGTGCCATTAGCACAGGCAGACTCAGACTATAAAAAAAAAAAAAACACTATTATTAAACCAGTGTCCCTGCAAAAACACTACAGTAAAATTAGAAGCCTTATAATTAAGATCCTTTACACCAGAGGTTCCAAAGGATTAACCACCAGTTACACCTCAAGGAGGATTCCTCAGTTTATCCTACGCCAACTTTACCTGGGTTCCCCATCCCTGTTGGGAAGAGAAAGCTTGGTTTAGAAAACTAATTGTCTATACAAAGTTAACTCCATAATCTAAACCAATTTAATTGTGCATGCTTTAGGTATGCCCGAAGAAAGCATAGGCAATGCGAGTAAAATTTTAGTTTTACAGCCGAATCTTAGAACAAAGTTCTATGGCAACTTAGAAAAAAAAAACTCAATGAAATATAAACACTTTTACAACAGGCATTTAAACATTTATGATACTAATCATTTTTTAACTTCAAAAATCTATAACTATTTTTGCAAAACGTGTTGGTGATTTTAGACAATACCAAAATACAACCACCACTAATGCATAGTATTTTTAGTAATCCTCCATGTAAAATTCATGAATGTAAAAAGTATTCCATTTTATTGGCAAAAATTATTTTAAGAATTAGTCACAGAACACACAAGAAAAATTCAAATGTTTCTAAAAATTACTGTACAATATTTTAATGCATTAGTTCAGAGTGAAGAAATTCCAATACAGTACCAATACATTAATTGTTTAGTACTGCAAACTGAATACTGGAGTAAAATGGTATAAGGATTTTTTTTTTCTAAAACTACAAATCGAGTATAAAAAAAAAAAGCCAGTTCCTGGTTATGTTATTTTCTATGATCACCCTCTTTCTAAATCAGGTGGACAGATACCAGATGGACTGCATTTCAGCTGTCCATCTGGCAAAAACTCATTACTGATAGTTAAATTCTAGATCTTACAATATCACGAATAAATGCATTATAGCACAACTACAACCACGTTAAAGGGACATGCAAAGGTACCTTTCCCGGGTAACCTTTATAAAACTAGCATTAACCACTATCATTTCTAGAGCAACGTTTGCAATTTTTAGTACACCATGTGTAATATTTTGCATCAGAGGGAAAACTCTCAACAAAAATAGCAATCCATATTTTAACCTTCAGCAGATATCTATTTTCAACCTCAGCAGGAAGTTGATATATACGTATCAACAACCTTTTTTTTTTTTTTAACCTATATTAATGGCTTATGTCCATTACACTTTCTGATTAGAAAACATTGTATGTACATCAGATATGACTTGCATTATAAATTGATTGGTTTAAACTATTAAACATGCAGTTAAAAAACAACCCAGAAACAAACAATTTTAATTCAATTTTAGCTCAGAACAGCTTGCATCAATGAAAAATGGCTATGAGCTACTGTAAACCATACCACACCAGCAAGAAATGTACAGCAAACAATAATTAAAGCAATACTTCTTAAGAATGTCAACAGAAAATCTGATGCCAAACCACAATTTCAAGACAGTTGCAACAAAATGTCTATCTTATTATATACTGTATTACTGAAATTCATACTGCTATGAAGTTTATGGTCTGGTACTGGGCTTCATGCATCTAGTACAAATGCATCCTAATAATCTGAAGCACTGCTAAGAAACTAGTAACAGTGTGTACTTCTGTTTCAACAGCAAACTATATAAGCACTATTTTTTCCTAGAAAAACTGGCACATAATATTTATCCAAAAGCAGTAGGAAATTAACAAATAAAATTTATGAAGTCATTAACTGCAACAGATTACCATGCAAATACATGTACCATTTCCAAACCAGTTATGAAAAACTCAACCCACACTAAAGAAAAACTAAATCTGCATGTTTATGCACATGTTAAAATTTAAAATCTAAGTTATTTTGTAATTTCAAACCATTTTCTTTACCTGAACTCCTCATCCCTGTGGACAATGGAAAAGTTAGAGAACCTTATTTCCACAAGTAAACTTTGTACGGTTATGTAAAATGCGTATAAAATATTCGAGGGCACTACATAAAATTTATGACTCCTATTAGCTGGATCATGCTACATTGAAAATTTCTGTATTCAACATATCCTTATATTGAAGAAGGAGAGAAAAAAATTATATATATAATCTCTCATATCACTTGACACACACAGTAGAACCCCCGTATCCACTGATTCGGTATCTGCGGTTTCAGTTATCCACAGTTTACTGTAGCTCAAAAATACCTCTTAATTTTGCATAATAAAAGCCCCAAAGCACAAAAGTAGAGAAGCTTGCAGTACTTCAAAGCCTAAGCCATGAAGTGCTTCCCATCAGTGAAAGTGATTGATAATTCTCTACTTATTGTGCACAATTTATCAATTAAACTTTATTAGCATTTTGTACTGATGTTTTACAAAGACATGTCTAGTGTACAGGAATCTCAAAAAACACCAAAATACTAAATTACAGTTTTATGCCCAAAATAAAACCCCAGATCTTTTAAGATTAAAAACTTCATATGGCCTATCAGGCCAGGTTTGGCACCCTTTCAGAGAAAACCATCACAATGTCTAACATAAGCTTGAACCTCTCAATTCCTCAACAAATTTTTCAAAAACCCTAGATAATCCATTACTAAGCCTTTTCAGCAAATTTCATACAATGCCTTTCATGAAAATGAAAATTTAGCTTTCTAAGTCAAAACCCAAACATTTCATGTGCAAGTAGAACATACATTATACTGGAAATTCTTATAAGGCTTCTTTCTTTATATACCGAGATGCCTTTTTGTAAAAAAAAGACTGAAAAAGTAATGTACATCAAAAATTAAAGCATGCCTTTGCAAATGCTATTTAATTTTGAATGTACTTTTTTCAGTCTCATACAAAAAAAATTGTAATACGTACATGGGAGCTTCAAACTGCCAATAGTAACTTGGTAAACCATTACTGATCTCTTAATATCACTGAACGACCCTACAGTGCAAGCACTTGAAGTGCTAATATTTACCAAATCATGACGAATGGTATTGTGTCAGATGTGGAAGATGACCAGTGCAAGACCTATTTTCTCAGACCTACACAAGAATATCTTGCACCTCCCACCCCCTCCCAATTTTTTTTTTAGTACATATTTGCATTTAAAGAAAAATACCTGTAGGTCTTGAATTTCTAATATTGGCCAATTAACCTGACCTCAATAGTGGTGAAAATTGCTGGACTATAATCACACATGAAAGTCAATGTCACCAAAACAAAGTTTGATGAAGCAATACAGTGGACCCCCGGCTTACGATATTATTTCATTCCAGAAGCATGTTCAGGTGCCATTACTGAACGAATTTGTTCCCATAAGGAATATTGTGAATTAGATTAGTCCATTTCAGACCCCCAAACATACACGTACAAACGCACTTACATAATTGGTCGCATTTGGAGCCGATCGTAAAGTGGGGGTCCACTGTACTTGTTTTTGCAAGGGGTTATTCTTGCCTGACAAATTTACCGACTTTTTTTTTTACTTGGATATTTGAAGCAGTGGACCATAACACCTGACTGTTTATAACAAATGAACACTACAGTAAACTTAATGGCCTATGCTAAGCAGGTCCTACTTGTATCGAACCTACTGTATTTTCAAAGCTACCCAGTGTACACATCAACACTACTCTGTAGTGTTCCTTTCCTCCACAGCTCAAAATAGCCAAACATGCTTACCTATATCCTTTTATACAGGATCTAAAGTTATCCATCTTATTTCCTTTAATGCAAGCCCTGTCTTGGTAAAGATATTTTCAACAGTCTATATACATCATTCTCATTTATTCCTATACAGTATTCCACTTGCACACTTCAACCACATCCCTACCTAATCCGAATCCTAGGGAATCTTGCCAATGCTTCAATTACCAATTTTTCAGAAGTCTCCAATATTTCCCTGGTAGCAGAGCTGTCTCTCAAATTTAGCAAATACATTGGCAAGCATTCTTAAATATAACCTAAGGGCAAGAAGGGATGGATTTGAAAATTTATTTGTTGACAATTCTGCCATATTTTTCAGTCACTGAGCCTATCACCTGGATAACTGATGTCACAAGCTTTGAAACAGACTTTACTAAATAACCCCTAATCCCTAGGACTTTCAAGAGTGCAAATTTCATGCATTCAACTTAGAAAAGTTTTTGATAGAGGATGTAATATTCTTTTTTATACATTACATTTTTATACAATACATGAGTGGGTGTGGGTGGGTGCGAGTTGGACCTGATTAGCTTGTGCTACTAGGTCAGTTGCCGTGTTCCTTCCTTAAGTGAATGTGACCGGACCCGACTAGGTTGGGTGCATTGGCTTAAGCCGGTAGGAGACTTGGACCTGCCTCACATGGGCCAGTAGGAGTGCTGCAGTGTTCCTTCTTTCTTACGTTCTTATATAGAAGAACTTTTCACCAGTTAAAAAATACCACACTATCACCGACAGACTGAGGTCTTGAGAAAATGAGGTCACTTGCCTTATGCTGAACTTGTGCCAAAATACTTACATCACACAAATATTAGCGAGTCTAATAAAGGGTTACAAGATCAGTTGGAAGTAACAGTAATTTACATAGGTTAAGTTATGCAAGATAAATGTACTTGTGCATACCTGTACTTAAATAAAACTTACTAGCTGTGGTAATTGCCAATTTTAAAATTATATTACATTCATAACTGGGCTCTAACCTGTTGGCATCATACAGCTCCTGGGCAGCTATTAGGTTCCATCCAAGAAGAGATTATACACAATTCCTGGTATTAAGAGCCCTCGCTCTCCCTCACATCAAAAAAAAAAAAACCTTCAAGTGGACACTTAATAAATTTACGAAAATAACAATTACAGACAACCTTGCCCAACCCTCTTAAAATCTAATCTGGGTAAATTAATTCTTTATACACAATTTTTACATTTCCACAATAGCCTTGGGGGGAGCACAGGTATTATATAGTATATTTTACAGATTTCAACAAGAACATAAATTTTAAACATTCAGTACATGCTTAACATTGTGATTTTAATTAGTTATTTGTGTAATATTTCTGATTTAGGCCTAGTCTGAAACTAGGCAACTGGGGGGGGGGGGGTGATGACAAACCCAGACCCATTAGAATAATTATTATTATTTAGGCACAGGTGCACAAGTACAATTATCATAAGTGTAAATTACCCAAGGATAACCCTATGTATTTTAGTAAACTTTTAAGTCTCTTGCATAATAAACTTCACATATTAAATGAATTTTGTAGATTATAACACAGGATTACTGAATAAAACCAAACTAACATTTCAATTATAACTCATGTTCAGTAGTTACAGATGCCATATTAAAGTGAACAATAAGTAACATAAGCAATGTTCTAAACTTCAGCAAGGTTAATTTTTAGGCCTCTTAACTGCGAACTTTAGCAAACTTTCTAAGCTTTATACAACAAATTATGTAGCATTTAACTTAGACCTACCCAATAAAGCCAACACATTTCCATGGAAGTTACATAAATAGGCCTACATAATTCACCCCTTAAATCTCACTCCGACTTTAATAACCCCTTTAACAGGAAGCTGGAACCACTCTCACTACTCCATAAGCTATATCTTCTCACAACGCCTCAAATTAATACTACTACTATTCACGAGGCTATTTGGCACTCCCAGAAAAAAAAAAATACCATTCCTGCACAAGCAATCACTTTAGTCTTCGCCCATTCTTAGTCCCCTAAGCAATAATCTTATCATAAAAACAGACTTTTGAGGCCTAAATACACAACTTCTCCGAGTAACCCGGTTAGAAGAGCAGGTGAGAGGTACAAAACCCGCCCCAACCGGCAATAAATATAGTGCCAGCTGATCACTGAAACTGACCCACTGGCCGCCATTACACCTCCACAACCACGTCTGACAACTTTACCCTCTTATCTATATGAAATTCCTAGCTCCATCGACCAGAAAGCCCCTCGAGGCTGATTACTAGCCCTTAAACTCGCTCTGGGGTGGGTAAAAGGACAAGGAGGCGGTAAAAAACCAGGAAAACACTTACTTCTGGTGTTCGTATTTGTCCGACATCTTGACTGTGACAGTAAGTCCTTTCAAAGGACCATGTGAACTGCACAATATTCCTACGCCACCTCTCTTTTCACTACTATTTCCTCGCAGCGCTCCCCGAAGATGCAAAATTAACATAAAAAACGTCTCCCACTTTTAAAATGTTTTATAAACAAACGCCTTTGGAAGGATATTGGTAAGTGGGGGACTAGTTTGTAAATGCAATTCCCATGATGGCGGAGGATTCGTCTTGCCGGCCGATGGCGCCAGATTTAAAACCTTTTAAAATTAAATGTAAAAGTCGAAGATTTTTTTCCCCACATGATGTAGTGTTTGTGCAGAGCTGGGTCCCTTGGTTGAGTGCAAAAAGACCATGGTTATGCAGTGCATTTCTGGCAAGCTTAAGCCTGGTCAATGATGGACTCGGTGGCAAAGCTCTCGTTTCACACGGCGGGGTCTGGGTTCGTTTCCCCACCAGGGTGAAAAATTTGGGCGTTTTTCTTTAACCTGTTGGCTATGTCCCCCATCAGTAAAATAGGCCCGGGGTGTTGTGGATGGGGGGTAGCATCGGGACCTGACCCAATTTGCCCGAAATGCTCACGTAAAAAGGGCTTTTTATATATTAAATTTATATTATATCATAAAATTTTCATAACGAAAAGTTTATTTCTATAAAGATGTTTACAAGTCAGTCGGGAAAAAATGAAGTTACTGACAGAGTTTTTGAAAGCCCCCATTTTTACAGGGGGACGATACTTTTCCAAACAGTTTATGAAGGAAATAATGGCTCGTACAGGCTTGTAGACGGGAATGGGAAAATTAATTGATTGTAAATTTCGACCCAGGCTGAAGTCTTTTTTCAAAATTTTGCCCTTAAAAGTAGTCCCAGCAGAGTCCCCCCTGACCTGTCCCCCCACGCGCTGCCCCTACTTCCAGCCCACTTGCACGGTGAAAAGGCGCGACCCTTTCCCATAAATCCTGTTCTCCTTTCATTTGTAATCTGCTGAAGGGACCCGTTGGGGTCGAAAAATGCAGATCAAAAAATTTTGAGTTTCGTCCCCATGTGGGTTTTATGAGCACGACAAGTGTTCATTACACTTTCTTATTTATAATAATATATATATATAAATTTTAAAATAATTATATAAATATATATATATATATTTTATATATATATATATTAAAAGATATATACGTATATATAATTTTTTGAAGATATTTTCATTGTTAAATCAAGGGTCCAATGGAAATAAGTCACTGTGTCTAAAATTTTTTTGGGGTTTCCCCCGGTTTTCTCACATATGCTGCTATGTTGTTTAAATTTTATGAACGTATTTGTGTATACCCGAATAAAATTACTTATTAAAAACATTGAAAGACTGAGTCGCCGTTCCCCCCTGTCACTATCGGCTTGAGTTGCAGGTGATGATTATAGCTTTGGCCCCCCTTGGGGCGGGGCCCTAACCACATACATCCCGGGCCCCTCTGGCCTTTTTTGGTACTTTTTCCCTCAAAATCCCGTATCGCTTTTACTCATTCAGGGTGATTATAGCAGTGAATGATGCGAGGCAGGACGAGCAGGTGATAACCTGGTGGTGACTTGATTGTATTGAAGGGGTTTTAATCCAAGGAAATGAAGCTATTTTACCTTTCCTTTGATCAAACCTGGTTACCATTCATCCTCTGTGCGCTGAACGACCCATACAGGTTTAACGCGTAATGAAAAAAGTAATATATAATGTATAGCATTCAGGAACCTGAACAGGGAATCCTTCAGAATTTTATGCACAACATACGCTAATCAAACCATACCACGGGCGGGGTTAGAACCCGCGATCAGTGAGTCATAAAACTCATTGAATGGAGCCCCACCTGGTCACGCATGGGTAAAAACTTGAACATTATATTAAATTTTGTGAGATGCTGAAGCCATGTGGGTCATTCAGCGCAAGGAGTGGTGAAGGATCGATCCTACGTCCTCTTAAACTGGAGACAGATACGCTGTTCTTCCAACATCTAAACCACATTACCTGTATATTGCATATTAGAAATAAAATTATTATTATTATTATTATTATTATTATTATTATTATTATCATCATCACCATCATAATGCATCGTCGTTGCAGTAGAATTAATAATATTTATGTATCACTAAGACAAACTGACGAGACTCCAGCTTTGAAACAGACAATGCAGTTCATTGCCCTGAACATAACAGTGACCGGAGACTCAACAAATGGTGGCATTTTTGTGTAATTTCTGATTTTTTTTTTACTCATAGGAACCATATAACACCAATTGCTTTAAGACCTGCCTAGCATGGGCCAGTAGGTCTGCCACAGTGCTCCTTCTTTCTTATGTTCTTAAGATACCTCACCGGGGTCAAGGAACCTCCCTTGAGGGTTGAAGATGAGACGGTCCACACTACACGTGAAGGTCACATTGGTGGCAGGAACCAGCCGTCTGGGTCACTAGTACCCTTCCCTTCACACAGCTATCAGAACTTCGCAGTCCAGTACCTGGACCCATTATGTACCTCTATAATCTTTTGACTACCGCCCACACCATGGGTATGGGGTGCATAATAAAAATATTAAGCTAACGGTTTGATATAGCACCTGGAGAGCTAAACTGGAGTTTACCTGGAGAGGATTTCGGGGGTCAACGCCCCCGCGGCCCGGTCTGAGGCCAGGCCTCATGGTGGACTTGTGTCCTTTGACCTAAGAATATTAAACCAGGCACATGTGCAACATCTGGATATCTTTATTGTAGACGTTTCGCCATCCAGTGGCTTTATCAATACAGATTCTAGGACATAATAGGAAGACAGATAAAGACATTGATAAAGCCACTGGATGGCGAAACGTCTACAATAAAGATATCCAGATGTTGCACATGTGTCTTAACTTTCATATTGTCGGTATTTTATACCTTTCTTGCACAATATTAAACCAACTAACTTCACACTCTCCTAACAGTGTCCTCAGTAACTAGTAAGTGCCATGACTGGAACAATGACAAATGACCCGCACCTGTAGGAGATCGAAACATATAACGACGTTTCGGACCAACTTGGACCATGAACTAATGTGATGGTATAAAAAAACCGACAAGTTGATAAGACATGTGCAACAGTTAAGTATCTTTATTCCGAAACGTTTCGCCTACACAGCGGGCTTCTTCAGTCGAGTACTGTTTGTTTCTGGTGATGAAAATTAGACACATGTGCAACATCTTCATAAGAACATAAAGAAGGAACACTGCAGCAGGGCTACTGGCCCATGCGAGGCAGGTCCAAGTCTCCTACCGGCTTAAGCCAATGCCCCAACCTAGTCAGGTCAGGCCACATGAGCACAACATCTGACCTAGTAGCACAAACTAGTCAGGTCCAACTCACACCCACCCGCCATCCAGTGGCTTTATCAATATAAATTCAAGGACATGGTTGGATGGCGAAACGTCTACAATAAAGATATCCAGATGTTGTAGATAAATGGTTCTAGATGAATGGTTCAGAGAACCGACATGTTGTTGAATTAGACAATCTTGATTCTATTCAAGATTGATGGACTGACCACATCGACTCAAGGCTGAGGGACTGATTACCTCATTCTCCTCCTGTTCTTCAAGTTTCTCCTTTGTATGGACTGATGAAGCCACTGTGTGGCGAAACGTTTCCTCAATAAAGATACCCAAGAGTTGCACATGTGTCTAATTCAACAACATACCCAGATGTTACACATGTGTTTAATTTTAATTTTGTCGGTATTGTATACCATTCCTGTACAACTGTTTCTGGTACCTCTGTATCCGACAGAAGCCTACTGTGGAAATATAAACACAAATGCAGTATAATGTGATCCTTTATTGACAACGTTTCACCCACACAGTGGGTGATTTGAGAAAACCCACTGTGTGGGTGAAACGTTGTCAATAAAGGATCACATTATACTGCATTTGTGTTTATATTTCCATTGTGTCGGTATTTTATACCATTTATTACCAGAAGCCTACTGTGTAAGCGAAACGTTTCGGAATACTGATACTTAACTGTTGCACATGTCTTAGTCACACAAGTCGGACCGAAATGTAATTTTTGGCCTCATATGTGCGGATTATTTGTATAAGTAAAAAGTGAGCAAGTAGTGAGTAAATTAAGTATGCAATTAAATACGTTTTATTTATGAGAGGGAGAATAAAAGCTACCACACAATAAGTGTCCGGGGCCCAAGACTGTTCAACTGCCTCCCAACATACATAAGGGAGATTACCAATAGACCCCTGGCTGTCTTCAAGAAGGTACTGGACAGGCACCTAAAGTCAGTACCTGACCAGCCGGACTGTTGTGGTTCGTACGTTGGATTACGTGCGGCCAGCAGTAACAGCCTGGTTGATCAGGCTCTGATCCACCAGGAGGCCTAGTCACAGACCTGGCCGCAGGGGCGTTGACCCCCGGAACTCTCTCCAGGTATACTGTTGCTAGAACAATTCACAACTAACTCACACATGAAAGGTAAATCTAGAAATAAGCCAGACTGACTTGATTGGGTTATCCTAAGTTAAATCTACGTAGTATCATTGCTGTATGCTGGAGTATACCTGGAGGGGTCAATGCCCCCAAGGACCTGTCCATGACCAGGCTTCGTGGTGGATCAGGACCTGATCAACCAGGGCTGTACTGCTGGCCGCCCCAAAATCGGTACGAACCACACCCCGGCTGGTCGGGGTATGACTTTAGGTCCCTGTCCACCCCCTCGAAGACACCCAAAACATCATTTGCCCAAAACATACAAATGTGTGCTGTCTGTACAATATTTATAGATTCCCTAAATAAATTTAAAACCAAAAAAAAATTCCCCTTTTATATATACCGAAAAGGTATGTCTCTCAGTGAAAAAAAACACCGAGTGTTCGGTTTAATATCTTTTTTGGGTATAAAGTATTCTTGTCCGTAGGGCGGGTTTATATGCAGCTTTAATGGCCCCCGTATTTTATAAGAAATAATAGGTCCCTGAATTTTAGTCCTTTACCCC